GAAATGAATCTAGCAAAAAATTTTCTTGGTTTGAACCGGTCTTTAGATGAAATCTATTTGTTGTCGAAGGTGATAGTGGTAATGGGGGTGATTGTAATATTGGTGTTTGTGGTGGTGACGGGAGTGAGATTGTTGTTGATGATGGTGATGATAATGATAATAAAGGCGAAGGAATGACATTAGGAGTATTTGTAGCAGATAAAGGAGTGGCAACATTAATAGTAGTGTAAGATGAAGGATTGTTGATGTTATTATTTGTAGTGTTGTAACAATTGTAACAACGTTTAACCATTTTCAAAATAATCGGTTATATTAATAATTAGAGATTTAAAAAAATTTAAAAAACGAAAGAATTTATAATTTAATTATTAATATTAACTAAAAGCAAAGAGTGATTAAAAAATAAAAAGATTAAGGATTAAAAATATAAAAAAAAATAAAAAATAAAAAATAAAAAAACGAATGTAGGAAAATAATAGAGTTTTTTTTTATATTTTTATATGGGTTTTTTTTTAATTATTGTTAAAAATAGCATAGTCTTTATGCAAACTTATTTTTGACGTTTTTTTCTTTGTTATAAAAACAGCGATAATTCTTATTTAAGAAATAAACAATTAATCGAACTCCATTAAACCGAAGTTCATAGTAGATTATCTAATGGTCCCGACTACTTCGTTTACCGGGGTTCGACTGTAATAGGGTCGCCTTGGCAAATTAATTATATTAACTAAATTAAGTAAATGCAAGATGTAAGATGTAAATGTAATGTAATATAAATAATGAAAACGTAAATTATTTACTAAACCAAGTAAATTTTTAAATTGAATCAACTTTTATATGTTTATTGACAAAAATATATAAATGTTACATAATAACGATGATTTGTCAAAGTATCGTATAGACAGCTTCTGTTTTCGTTGCTGGAAACAGTTTTGTTCTTAATTCCTAATTCAGTTAATAAATCTGAGGGTTCTTCTGATTCTTGTTGTTAATGAGGTAATAGTAATGGAATTGGTAGAATGATGAATGGACCAATATGGTTTCATATGAGTTGGTTAATTCAAAAATTGCGTATAAAATTATTTGAGTGGTATTGATTGAATGATGCGATGCTTGTTGTTGTCTCATCATTACTATCAGTATTTACTATTAATATCATGATTATTGTAAATATTCATTTGATAATCCCATTTCCATTCTTCATTGTAATTAATTGCTAGATAAAATAACATTTATTTTATAATTAGAACACTCATTAATCTTATTGTTAGGATGACCAATATTCCATTTAATGTCATGTCATCTTTAGTCTATAAGTTTCATTGAATTCTGTCTGGCCTTATGAGTTTTATTTTACATTTGTTATTATTTGAAGATTTAAATGTTAATGATATGTAGCCACCACCAGCAGCAATAATGTTAGTTGTGGTTGTAGATAACGGTATTGAAAATGTTGTCATTTCTTTTAATTTGATGGGAATTGATGTTATCATACTACCAATAATTCCTAGAGATTGGCACCATTAACTGTTTAACCGTTTTTAACCGGTTAATTAACTGTGAACCATTAAAATTTTTTAACCGGTTAAAGAATTTTTAGGCGGTGCCGATCTCTAATTGAAGTTGTTGGGTTCAAAAAAAAAAAAAAAATTTATCTAACTATATATAATTTATATACAATATGAAAATTAATTGAATAAAAAAATATAGTTACAATATTATTAAACACCAATTAACTAATAATTTACCCATGTTAGATTCGCCGTGTAACAGTTGGAAGAATACCTTGTCAATGAACATTGTGTAAAACTTATGTAATAAACCCATATTATTATAACATTCAACAATTTTTTTCACAATTATCATCAAAATAGCCTTGTTATACTACAAGAACAGGTTTGTAATTATTTTGTCAAAATACCGAGTTACATCGTTCTTTATAGTTGATGATACTTTCTTTTGTTAAATTTAGGAATACCCAGAATGCTGGTCTATTGAATATATAGAAAATATAGATATAAGCAACTATCATCATTTTGAAACTATCGCAAAACTTACGTTTAATTTTTTACTGAATAATTTGAACTTAATAAAATTCTTAGCATATTAAAACATCTAGTTATTAAGCCTTGAATGCAACAGTCATTAAACAAATAGATGCAGAACGGATTCTTCTTGGAGATTTTATCATCCCTATATAGTCATAACAAATCTTCGTTCCCTTCATTAAGCAATATATATATAATTTCAGATTTTCCTTTTGAAGACACCATTTAAATGTTTCTTTAAGAAAAAGAAAAGAAATTGAATTCTGGATAACAGCCGACCAATAGCTAGAATATATAAAATGAATTTACTTATTAGTTGATGATTTAGATGATCTTTCATTATCTATGAACTCCCTTCCTCAATGGTAAAATAATGACAACTGAGAAATGCTTATACAATAAGAACAAAGTTGGAGAACTAGATTTTTTCGCTTTTTCTTTTGATCGGATTATTTTTCAGCAGCATCTTCTTGTCCATCCAACTTTATATTTGCAAGGGAGACAAACTTCTCTCAAATGGCGACTTGATAAAAATATCATCATTTTCAATTCCTTTGAATCAAACAAAGAACAAAAGATTGCTGTTAAATTTATATACAAATTCATACTACATATTTAATTCACATGAAAAAATACATATAAGTCTCCAAGTTTGGTGCATAATTCATTTTTTTTAGTTTTTAAATAAGGGAAAGAAATGTAGACAAGTAAAACCGCTGTTACCAATAAACAAAAACTTCAACAGATTGAATTAGTGTTTGGTGTTAAGTATGCTATTGATACCTTAATGAAATTACCTGATTCCGTTCCTAAAAATACTTATATCGCTTCTTATCAATATCCAATCTTGGTCAGTTTTCAAGCTGCAAAATATCATGTTCTTAACTTGCACAATCTAATTTGATTGGGATATAATTGACACTTCATCACAACCTATCAATTGGTTAAATAAATTCATTGAAAATCAAACGCGAAACTGAACCGGAAATAGTTTTTTACAAAGATATCTGTATCAAAATTCAAGTAAAATACCATCATCACTAGATGATGATAGAAAATTAAATCAAAAAGAACTGGAATAGAAATTAGATCATCTGTTGTGGATCCTCATACAAACAACCTATAACATACATTTATGCTATTGCTACTTGTGTTTACCATGATAAATCCGATTATGATTGCAACCCTAATTATGATTGGTGGTGGTTGTCTCTCTATATGATTTGCCAAAGATCAAAGGTGAATTATTATTGATATATCAACAACAATTAAATAACAGTGAAGAGGAGGAAAACTGACGAGGAAAAACAAGATACACAAGATTTTTCTATTTCACTTTATGAATATTATCGCATTTTATATCATATCCTTACTTTAAAGTTAATGCGCAAATTAATGGTGGAAGTTGGGGAGGTGAGAATGTTTGGAGGGAACCATCTGTTGTTACCAATTATGCTGATTGCTTAAGTCCCTGGATTGAATGGAAATCTTCTTATAAAATACATATTAGCATATCTTCAACCTTCATTAAGAGGTAATGGTGGGGCTCCTTTGAAACATAAATTTGATGAATTGAAGGAAGAAGGAAAAATAAGTTCTAAGCTAACCCAACACCTTTGGTCTGATTTATGGGACGGTTTACAGATATGGAAAATTTAAATTGACATGATTTTGAGTTTCACATGACTCAAAGCACCCATCAACAATGTTAAATCCACCATAAATTAAGTGAATGAATGTGTCTATCATTCAAATGCCCAACCACCACCACCACCATGCATGTCAACACATTGGTATTTTGCGTCTTTTTTAATCGATCTTCCTTGTCTACTATATATATTCTATATAAATTGACATCACTTTTTAACATATCTACCCAAAATTATTTATCCCTTAAACGAAATTCCGTGCTAATTAGCACGGAATTTGGAATTGCGATCATAAATTACAAAAAATAGACATTTTCCTGGAGTACCACCACAACTTTTCTTATTTAGAAAATGATATTCAAAACCCCATACTTCTATTAAAAAAATTTATTTGGGGTTACATATAACAGGTAAGGAAATAATATGTGTAAAATGTAAAAATACCCATTTTTTTGTTATGAAAATTTTCTTGCAGATCACGTTTTTTGATAGTAAAAATTTGCGATATAGTTATATAAACCTATATCTCCTTCACTAAAATTATTTAGCTAGTATGCAAAGTCTACTAATGGAACTTGTTAATCAGATCAAATCACATGATTTATGTCTAAGAACCATAGGTCTAGTATCAATAATTAAAATTTTCCATATAATGAACTTTTCAAAAAAAAATTTTTAAAAAAAATACAAATGTTTCTTTATTTATAAAAAATCTTAAATATAATTCCAGTATGTACGATTTTTTTAAAATAATTTTTTCAGAATATATGTTAATTGAAAATGCAAAAATATTCGGGGTTTGTTAGTAGTATTTTAATTTAAAGAGGGATTGAATTTACTCGGAAGATCTACACAAATTTGGACCAAAAATCCCTGTACGTTTAAGGGATAATAATAACTACTATTTATTATTATTATTATTATATTACAACAGCGCGGTTAAACAATTGACCGGTTAAAAATTAGCCGATTGATATTAAAAATTTTTTACATGGTTCTATATACAACAAGCTAATGCCCGCAATATACGTTAAAATTAAAATTAATAAAATATCGAAACTAATAATAAAGTCCAAAAACTCTTATAGCCTAGCACGTTCGATTCGGAGACCGAGGATAGTAATTAAATGAAAAAAAAAAAAAATAATACACTTTATATATACTGTATACCATCACATAATAAATAAATAAATAAATAGACATTTTATTTTATAAAAATTAGATATATATAAAAAAAAAGTAATGGTTTTTAAAAATTAGATATTATATAATATTAATATATAAAAAAGTAATGTTTTTTAAATTATTCACTTTTCCGTTTATTTTTCGCTAGATTGAATAAATCTTTAATATAAATCCAGCGAGCTAACTTATAAATTAAGAAAATACTAATTACAAGACTGACTAATGTTATTACAAGCAAAGTCAGATAAACATCGAAATAATTTCCTCTGATAAATCCCATTCTTGTGTCAGGCGAAATAAATTGATTTAAATATTGACCATCTCTTAAACTTAAACTTAAACTATCATTGTTGACGCTGTTTAGTTTTTGATTTAATTCATTTGAATGGATTGCAAATTCAATCAAATCGGCAGCTTTATATTTTCCTTTACTGTTAATTCTTGCCAATAATTTCATTTTTTCGGCATTTATCTTGAATTTTTCTTCAGTTAACAATCTTTGAATCTTTATTAAAACTTCTTCAACAGTTAAATCTATTTTATCTAAAGTTAAAGCAGTTCCAGCAAACGTTTTCAATTTCTCTGCATTTCCATATTGATCAAAAGCAATGGGCAATGCCAATATAGGCTTACCGTTATACATTGCTTCATTGCTACTGCTTTGCCCAACGTGACTTAAAAACACTTTACAATTGTCATGTGCCAAAATTGAAAATTGTGGTGCAAATGATAAAATTTGAATGTTTGGATGTTTGTTGTTGATTATATCTGTTGTGTTGAACACTTTGCCGCTCGATAAAGTTATGGTTTCAGGTATGGAATCAACTTTTACTTTTGACAATCCCCAAATCACACCATCAACTACATTATTCTCCACTGCTTCAAGAAATGATTGCAATAATATTCCATTGGTTTTTTTTGAAGTAAGTACCACTGTGCCGAGTGCTACGAACATTGTACGTGGATGTTCTTTTAGAAATTTTTCTGTTTCTGGTGCTAATGGTGGATAAGTATCTGACATTATAGGTCCGATTAACTGATATAAATAAATAAATAAATAAATAAATAGATAAATAAATAAATAAATAAATAATATAAAAATTTCTTTTTAAAATTCGAAAATTTACCTGATGAATTGGTGCTAATTTTGATGGAACTTCAAATCCAAAAAATCCATCAATCAAAAACAAAATATTCGCGTATCTTTCAAATACATTAACATCGGGAATACCTGATTCTGCTCTCTTTTCATTCATTTCTGAAGAGATAGTTTTATATGCTTGATACATTTTGATTTTTGGGAATACGAAACATTTTAACCTTTCTAAAAATGATTCATTTTCCATATTTATACTACAACCATGGACCGGATCGGATAGATAGGGTGCTTGCTGAATTGCTATAATAAAAAAATTTTATATTATTAATAAAATTATTATTATTACTCATATAATTAACATAACCATTATTTTTTACCAACCGAGTAGAAAGCTTGTCACAGAAACCGCTGGTTTGCCCAATTTCAAGGCCACATCAAAACACACTTCATTATTTCCAAAATCACACAAAAACAAGTCCGGGTTCACTTCATTGGACACTCTTTCATAAACTTTCAAATGTTCTGAATATCTATCAATTTGCAGCTTAATCAAGCTGGGAAATATATCAAAGGCAGATGTTCTAGTGTAAAACGTTTTTTTAAAAGCATCAATTTCGCTTGCAACAAATTTTTTTCCTGTAGAATAGTGTTTAATTTTTTCATATTCAGGCTTTGGTGAATAATCTTCCGGTGAAACTAACGTGACCTGAATATATTTTGATAAGATAAATAAATGTAAGATATTTTTTTATAAATAAATAAATAGATAAATAATTTATTACTAACATTATAGCCACGTTTGACTAAAATATTGGATATTTCTAGTAATGGTCTTAAATGACTCCATCCTAATATATATATATATATATATATTAATAATAATTCTTTTTTAATAAAATTTTATTTTTTTTATTTTCTAACAATAGTTTACCCCCAATAAATGATCCTGCAATGATATTCCTAACTCTTGGATTGTCGCGTTCAAATTCCAATGGTTTCAAATAATTTATTTCATTGGCGTCGATCAATAATGAATTTACGATCAAAAAAAATAATAATAATGATTGAGTTAAAAGAATTTGTTTTGTTGATTTTATCATGTTTTATAAATAATGAAGATTTTATGATTTGAAAGCTATCGAAAATTCAACGCCTTTATATATTCTTTTTTTTTTGAGGGAATAATATAATCCCCGTCCGTCAAAAAAAATCTGCACATAATCTATAAACGTCAATAGTACGAAATTTAAAACCGTAGTTCTTTCCAATTTAAGTAATTATTTTTTATATTTATGCAAAGCACAAAAAAATTTTTGTATCATATTATTATTATTTATCACTTGATTACTCAAAAAATCCATTTATTTTTAAGGGTTTTCCGATTGGTTACACTTAAATAAAAATTACATACAAATTTGTTAATATTAATATTTTATTTTTTTCGGCGACGTACGTATTTTCCGCACTATTATGAAAATGGAAATTAAATTAACCAATCAAAAGGGATTATAATTCCACCGAAAGCCAGAATTCATTTAATCAATGAGAAAACAACAATCTGATTTTGTCTATCAGAAAACCTCAGAAAATTCTTTGTAAAGCATAGAAAAAAACCAAGGCTGTCATTTTATCTATGATAGATAAATTATTTATAGCAATTAATTTTTGCATGATTGTTTGCAGCGTAAAGGTGTTTAAAATCCTAATTTAGTAATAATTGTCTTGTCAGTTCAGCCAAGAGCTCGTTTGAATTATGCGGCCAGTTCTTATACACACACAAATATTCCAATTAGTATCCTTATATAATTATCTAACCTTGAAGAGCTTTGCATATCAAGTAAATTCTGGAACGTAAAGTACACAATTTTTCTAAAAAATTTATGTTTTTATGAAGAAAAACTTTGAATTTATGTTTTAATGAATATATATATATTCTTGATGAACTCTTATTTCTACAATAGTATAATTTCTACAATTCTGCGGTATTTATTTTTAATTATTTTTGATTAGAATTTTTTTATAAGGCAAACAAAACTTTTATTGTAACAATAATTAGAAAAAATAAATTGAACATTCTAGAACAACAACAAAACCCGAATGATTGTGCAATAGCTCATTTTTAAACATCATCACCTATATTTCATTATAATATGATATTACTTCGCCATTTTTTTCAATGATCAATTCACAACAATCTTTCATAAATTAATTAAACAATATTGTCCTTCATAAAACATTTTAATTAACAATAATCTTCTTCCAACATTTTGTTCCAGAAGTTTTCAACGGGGCGTCATCCTTATCAAAATTATTAGGGTGTCCAGGATTATGCTTTTTTTTCTTCCAAATTATGCCCTGATGCTTTTTTTTTTCATAATTTTTGGGCAAATTTATAATAATTACGACCAAAATTACATTAAAATTTTTATTTATTATTCATCAGAAAAATCAAAATACATGAAATTTAATTTTTTAATCGAATCTTCTTTTAAAGCTGTGCATTTATCAGTTAATATATTTTTATAAATTGAAAAAGATCTTTCAACATCAACACCAGACACAGGAAGCAAACATATTTAATGCGATTGGACTTAATGTTGGAAATATATTTATCTTTTCATTCCAATAATTATTTAAGTTGAAATTTTCATCAAATTTTTCATGTAAATTACAATAAATTCCCTATTCATTATGAGATTATCACTATAGTTGTTGAACTCCTTGATGACAAAGTATGTTGAAAAAGCATGATAATTGAAATTTGATTGAATATAACAAGGATCAAAACATCTGATTGCTTTAAACAAGGAACTGCTGGATGATTTTCAATATGATTTTTAAATTTGTCCAATGATAATTTAAATGCTTCTTTAAAAATGGCAATATAATAATCCAAATCCAAATAATAATCATTAATTATCCCCAAATCTTCATTGTTTAAAGGTGGTTGGCTGCAAGCTGAAAGAAGCATCGCATTTGTTACTTCTGAATGTGTAGCTACTGGTTTATTTCTAATTTTAAAGAATTCCAAATCATTTATTAATCTGTAAAAACAAAAAATTATTAATTATTGGTTAGAGAAAAGTTATTAAAAAAAAGTATGTGAACCATATTTTTTTTGCCTTGAAGAATTAAATTTAATAAAGCTAATGATTACTTCTAAATATATTTTTTTATTCGGATCTTCAAATATTTCTTTTAAATTTTTTAGGGATTTGATTTCTTCACTGACTACAATTTCTGACTCAATAAATGATTCAATTAAATGAAGTAAGATTGAATCCATATTAAAAAATTAAACCAACTGTTCCAACATGACTTCACTGGTATGGTGATGAAATATTATTATTTTCAAGATGTTCAATCCATCATTTTTTCCTATAATTACTATAAGTAAATAATGATTGGAAATTTGCTACAAAAAAAACTACCAACTCAAATTTTTTAAAATTGATCCAACATTCACCTATTAAACTAAAGATATGTGCCAAACAGCAATTATGAAACATGTTTGGTAAAAATAGAGATAAAAAAGAATATGCAAATTTCATATAACTTCCATTGTCGTAAATAAAAAAAATGACATTGCTATATGGTATGTTATAGAATTTAAAACACTCATGACTGTTTGTAATATTGTTACAGCATCAGCTTTTTTTTACAAATTCAGTTGAAGCTAATTTAGTATATTTAATAAAATGTTAACTACTTTTCTACTTCTACTATCAGTAGTTTCATACTAATAATTTTATTTTTTATTAGATTTTTTAATTTCTGTACTTTAAATTCATAACTCATTGACAAATATTTTTCTCAAAGTTGATTTGAACCTACAATATAACCTCTTAGGAAATAATAAAAATAAATGATAATTTACATTAAAATATTCAAATTAATTTATTTTAATTTTTTTTGATGTGAAAATTTTCTTACCATTCTTACAATATGAATTAAAAAAAGACTTTAATTTATCTATTTTATCCAGGAATATCAGCTTTAGTAAATGCTTCAATAATTGCAATATTGATTTTGTCACAATCATTATTTTGTTCAGCAGCTTTATGTTTCACTGATTCTATATGGTTATCAATATTGATTTTTTTTCATGATTTATATATAGTATGGTTACAAAAACAACAATACAGTGCGTGTCACAATAATACATCCATTTTTATATAGAGGGGCCAAATTATCATGAAGTTTGCACGTGATAAAAATTTTATTTTTATTTTTTTTAAAAAGTTATATTAATGAATTAAATATCTATTTCTGTCAAGATTGAGTCTGGTATTTTTCTATGAGACTTGTATTTTTTTACAGCATACTCAGCTTGTTTCATATTCAAGCCTTTTCTATAACAATCCATATAACGAGCTGACTTCCTTTCAAATTTACAAATTGAATTTAAAGAAACAGAGTCTAATGCCAAAGGAACAGTTTTCTCCAGACCTTTCCAGGTATAGTTGCAGTTTTCTCTTGCATACCTCTTTGCTGCACCCCAATACATCTCAATGTAATTTAATTCACAATGGTATTTTGGATAGAACATCACCTTATGGCCATGTGCTTCAATGATTTCCTGTATTAAAGGTATTTGAGCTACAAAATCTGGTTGTGCTCCTAATTTATGTCTTGCACAACAATCTGGATAGTTTGTAATTTCTTCAATATTATTATTATTGCAAGTTAATATTAACCCTTCTTTTGGCCATAATCCACATTCTTCCAAAATTAATTTTATTCCTTTGGGTTTTCCACATAATTTAGGATCATGAAAGTCATCAGGAAAATTCATTGTTTGAATTTTTCCATTAAAGATTGTGTCTCACAGTTTAGGTTTTTTCCCACCAGGATTTAAATTCATATTATTTACATTTAAAGCATTGTCTGCAATTTTGGCATGGCTTGAAGAATTGTCAAAGGCAAAAACTGCAACTGCACCTGGGTGAGTGGCTTCAAATATTGGAATTGCATGTTTAATTATCTATAATAAAAATATCTTTAACTTTTTTTTCAATTTAGTAAGATTTCAGTTAAATTGAAACATTACTTGATCAATTAATTTTTCAACATTCCACCATCCATCAAAATTTTTTCCTGGATTCATCATTACCCTTGCCTCATGAGGAACTGACTCTCCAAACTCATAAACCTGTTGTTGATTCAGTTTTAATCTTCCAATTGTGTTAGTAACAAATTCACTTACATGGATTGATCTGCCTTGTCCTTTTTTCCTCAAAGGTTGTTCTCCTTCAGGCATCCACCCAGATTTCAATCCATCATTTGATTGAAAGGTAGTTTCATCATGTGTTACCAATATATGAAGTTTTTCTCCTTCATTTAATTCTGGATTGATTTGGATTTCAAGATTATCACCTGTAAATGTTGGCATTAATTTCTGATATCTATATTAAAAATCAAAGCATTGATTAATTATGTTTTTAGATGATAATCATTATAATAAATTCATAACTCACAACTCTATTTCCTCTAAAAATTTACTTCTATATTCAACCACATCACTTCTTTCATGTCCATCAAAATAAAGACCTTTTTTATATTTGTCATATACATAGCCCATTTTCTTCAACCACCTGTTTGCTGTTGATAAACTTAAAAAAAAAATTTTTGTTAATTAAGAATAGTTTACAAAAAAAATATTCTTCTTCTCACCTGATTGCTGTCTCATTTTCAACTCCTATACTAGGAAATACATCTTTAGCAATAAATTCTTTAAAATTATTTACAGTCACATTAAATTTTTCCTTTCTTAAAAAAGATGATATTTTAATCTGAACATCTTCATCATCAATAATACTTCCTCTTAAATGTTTGCCTCTTTTTTTATATGAAATATCACCATATTCTATAAATGACTTTCCCCAACTTCTTATACATTTTGAAAACCATGGGCCTTTATTTAAGATTTTTGAAACTAAATTTGCTGCTTCAAATTTTTTATGATTTCTTTTTAATAATTGAAAATAATATTGCAAAGCTTTTAATCTTAGATTATAACTTTTTGCAATATCAAATGATTCATCAAGTTTGATTTCAATATCTTTTAACAAATAATCATAATTT